TTTATCGCGCTAGGGGTTTTTTTTTTTTTTTTTTTTTTTTTGAGGGAGAGCTATAGAGGTAATACAAATTCCGTGGTATTGAAATAAAATTATTTCTAAATTTTTAATTTAAGATAAAATTAAAAAATATGTATTATTTTATAAGGGTAATAGCTAAAAAGTTAATACAAATTCCGTGGGATTGAAATAAAATTATTTCTAAATTTTTAATTTAAGATAAAATTAAAAAATATGTTTTTTTTTATAAGGGTAATAGTTAAAAAGTTAACTTGAATTAGTTGTTAGCAATTAGGGATTCGATTTTCAGACCGGATGAACATTTCACCCTCTCGAATGAGACGCGCAGCTATCAGGTCGCTTTTTGGTGGAGTTCTTGATGGTAATAGAGTTCGAAACTCCGACCACCTCACCCAAGTACTTAAGGTTTGGGATCGAACCATTGGACCTAAAGGTCCAGTTCAAAAAATATATATATATATATGTATTATTTTAGAACAAAAGTAGCAATTAATTGTGTGTGTGTGATTTAGACTTAGTGAAAACGTGCTGGCCAGCCCACCAAGAGAAAGGTAATGCAAGCAGATTTAATTCTGTGAATGGAATATGACCCCACACCCAACATAAGAAGACTGGGAATGGGGGCTGTGCTCAGACCTATAGTGAAAATGTGTTAGCCATCTCCAATTGATTGGGTTGTTTTTTAACTTAGATTCCTTTAACATTTCAGTTACTTCAAAGGAAAGTTCTAATTCCTCTTTATTTTCCACAACATATTTCCGTTAATTCAAAAGAAAACATCTAATTCCTCTTTATCTATCTTCCACAACATAGATTGGTCCTTTGGAATTTGAGCCATGTCATTTCAGGAATGACATAAAATATTTTTAGATTCATCATTAGTAAAAAAGAAAATGTGAGCAAATAATCAAGGTAGAATGAACAAGATTTGAGTAAACTTTTTGAAAAGGTATTTGGCAAAATAAAGGTAGGTAAAACTTGAAATTTTATTATATTGTATTTGAATACAATAGTTTGTACGGAGTGTAATATGTCTTATTGAATTTGAAAAGATTGGGAACATTATTCATTATGATAGCAAAGCTTCAAGAAAAATAAAAATGCTTGTTGAACCGTCCTTCTTGTCTCATCGTCAATAGAACATATGCTCATTCTTCCAAAGGCTTCAACCAAATCATCTTTCTTCTTATTACCGGCCAATGTGTTATGACTTATGGATGACATTGGAACCAGGTGTCGTCTCACACTCGAACTTAAGTTTCTTTGAAAGGAACTCTTGAACATGATGATGTAAAGCTAAAGAAGACTCAGTATCATGCCCAATTGCACCATCATGATATTCACAGCTTGCTTAAGGGTTACACCATGCAGGAAAAGGGGGTCTTCCTCGTGCTATGATAATTGGAACAATTTGACAAGTGATTGCCAACTACCTGAATGCATTAGCATATGAAATTGGGATTTTGTCAAATTGATGAGGAGCTCCTAGGCCTTGAAGCCTTAACAGTATATACGGAAGGTTGATATGTATTGTTGTATTGACCATAAGGATGAGGCATATAACCTCCACTAGATTAAGCTATCAACTACAATCAAAACTAAAAATTAGGCTACTGTAGAACTAGAAATATAAAGGTTAAATGTTAATTGTGGTCCTTCAACTTAAGGTTTTGCACAATTTTTATCCTTCAACTTTTTTTTGCACTTTTTTGGTCCCTTAACTACGAAAAAATGAAATTTTTTAATCATTTCGTCAGTTAATCCGTTAAATTTATATAAATCTGC